GCTCAATCTTTTACTTAACAAAGTGAAAGACGTATTGAAAACAATTAGTATGGCAACCGTGGAAGTTAAAAAATGTTCATTATTTCCAGAGTAGTTAGCTTGGCAAACGTTTTCGCGTGAGTTCGTTAGAACGAGAACCCTCGTTTGAACTCTTACGGAACCGACAGCTCAGCTGTCGAGTGGTTTAACCCACAACATCTAGCTGAATCCGGTTCGCGCGTTATTTGAATTGTTTTGGTCTGGCGACTGAACTTAGTGAGGTCCGCGACTTAATTAAGGTACCTGCAGTCAATCGTATAATCCAGGATAACACTAACCAATCCTTCCACTTTCAGACTTTTGACACAGCGGCCCCTTTATCCTCTCGTGACACACATTCTAATTTCCACAAATATTTCATCAGGCTTTTGACGTTTTCTCTTAACACACGTAATAATTTATCAAGAAGCAATTTCTACTAGCCTGCGTGTAGACATTTCCCACTTCTTTGCTTTACGCAGAAATGCAAAATAAAAAATGGAAGACGTCTGCACGCAGGTCAACCTGAGTTTTCTATTTACGTACCTCTTGCTGAAGTTTTTCTATTGGAGTTGTCGGCGAAACCTTCATACTAAACGTCCCACCAGACGACTCTTTATCTTCGACAACCACCCTAATACTAGGGATTCAAAGGATAATATAAGTAAATCACCTTTCACTTCAATGTGAGGATCAAGATGCAGCATTGAGAGAATTCCGCAATTTGGGTAATATTCAGACACTATAAAAATCCCACATGTAAGCCCTGGGCTTATAGAATGTCACAAGGGGTTTTGGGTGCAACCTTCCTCCGAGATTTCGCTTGGAAATCTGGGGAAGTGCCCCTCTGATTTTCTAAGAGAAATGCTTTAAGGACGAGATTGTATCCGGTAATCTCGCCACCAACGAACTCGCCAACAAGAAATATATATCTTAATACTTATCGAAGGGATAAGTCTCTAAAAAGAATTCTTTCACTTTAATTTTACAATGAAATTTAAGGAAGTAAGCCTCAAGTGACAATATTAACCAACTTTCATAAGAAAGGGTATTACACTTTTAAACAAATCGCACCTTTCGAGCAATGCAAATAATCCGTATTAAGGTAACAAAAAGTCGCAATTATTCACAGAAAATAAACCTTAAGATGAGAGGTTCGGCGCAAAGTGTCAATTAAAATCGACAAACTTCTATTTGGCCTTGAGGAAACAGTGACGTCTCCTATAATGAGTTGTTCATATGGCAGGGGTTCCACCGTGAAAAAGATCGAACTCCAAACGATAATCAGTGAATGGATTTTGATGGAGCCAGATTAACATGGATAACAAACAATGGCGAATTAGAGAGTCATTAATTAAAAACTTTAGAATTAAAAAAACTGTTTTAAGTGGTCAAATGGGTCTCAGAATGACGTGGCAAGACTGACTTATTTTGAATTTGTGAAATCAAGAAACAAAATGTGCATGGACACACAATGAAGTTTATTTTTCGAACTACAAAATAATTCTTCAGTTGATGATCAAGTCATCCAGAAACGAACAGGGTAGTTACTAATGTAGTTGGTTAATTAGGCAAGGCTTGTTTCTATCAGGTTTTTGTAAAAAATGGAAAATTTAATATATGTTCCTAAGCTGACGACAAACCAAGGTGAACAGTTTATTCTTTCCTTCATAAGCAAAAAGAGGAGGGATATTAAATCTAAACCTAACTTCTTTCTAGCCCATAAAAGAAAAAAAAAACTTTTGAAGAGGTTAGAAGAAGTCTTACCTGATTGTGTTGCCTCCTGAGTCCATTGTGACCAGTGTGGGATTTTTGAGTTTAATACTAAGATGAAGATTCTGAGTAGCCATTTTTTTGACAATCTCCGCGGACTGGTCTTGCCTTCCACTCTTAATAGCATCACTAAGGGTAGCGCAGAGACCATCTGAAAAAGGTGAAGGTGACAGAGATTCAAACACACTTCACAGTCCCTAATACACATAACTTACGAGCATGTACTAAACTCTTCCATTACATTTCCTATTTTTGCTAAGGAAGAGAATAATAATTTGTTTAACAATCAAGGCCCTTTCTAACTTGGTGATACTTAGAACTTAGAACAGACACCCCAAAGGTACTGATACCTAAAGTATTGTGATCATTTGCTTTATTCTGTCAATTAATTCTATTAATTAAGCAGTTGTTTTAAGGGGAAATTTGATATTGTTACTGCCAGGAGTAAAAGAGTTTTAATAGTGGCTTGCAGAGCAGAGGTTATATAGTTTTGTTGTTTTAGGTGAGTTTAGGTCAACAGAAATAACAAAGGAAAGGCAAAGTGCAAGCAAAAATGTCCCAGGACTAGTCCTCATTTCCTTTTTCCAGGGAACATTTTTGTGTGAAGCCCTCAAATTGTAGAGCTTGATTCATGTTCCAGATCCCTTTATGGTATGGCAAACCGGGCAACAAAAAACATGCAACTCGTAGTGCAACACTGCTACAAAACGAGTTGAATAGCAATGTTGCACGTTTACCTCGCGGATCGCCTGCTCAGAAACATCATTCCAAAGAAGAAAGAAACAAACTACCTACTCAGAAAAAAAAGCGCTCATCGGCCAGATATAAAGACTGATAGATTTAAGAATGTTTTTGTAAATAAGATAATTTTTAGATATAATCTTTGATCTTTCTATTATTTGTATACAGTATGTCTTACGTATTTTTAGATTCTCAACTGCTGATGTAACTTAAGATATGTCTTTTTATCTTAAGAGAATAAAGATTGATTGATTGATTGATCAAACCTGTCTTCCAACAAGTCAAGTTGTTAACAGGTTTGAACAAGGGTGGCAAAATGCATAACATAGCTTTTCAACTTGTTTTGCAGCAATGTTGCTAAACAAGTTGCACATCTTGGTTGTCTGATTTACCCAAACTTTAGGCTGTGCACTCACCAGGTTCTCCAGACAAGCTAACTGTGTACATGAAAACTCTAACATCTACTTCTCAAACTGATTCATAACACATCAGGGCTCGAAATTGCGACTGATAAGGTCGCCAATGTGACTAACATTTTCTCCTTGGTGACTCAAACTTCTAGTTTAGTCACCAAAGTGGCGACCTGATTTCTCTATGATTTAGATTTAAGTTAAAAGAGTAAAGTTAAAGCAAACATTTCATCTTATTCTGCTTTGCTTTCATCATAAAAAATGTGCCAAATCGCATACACAAAGCCAGTTTACCTCCAAATTTATAGCGACTTCTATCGACGATATTTTCAAATCTGATGGAGCACACCATACTATGAAGGGCTTCTGATAGGTCGCCGAAAAAAAGTCAAATTTCGCGGGATTTTTGGGGACAAATTCGTGGAAAAATCGACCGATTTCGCGGGAATTTTCAAGGCAAACTTAGCCGAAAATCAATCCATCAAAAAAGGCAGATTTTGTGGTTATTTTTTAGAGGCCAATCGGTTTAGCGCTGACCAGACCAGCGTTTTTTTAATGTTTTTCTAACAGAGGTCATCAGTTGCTCTTTCAACAACAATATGCTCCAGAACTAAAAACCAATGGCAAAGCCTTTAACATCATGGCTAGTACCCAGTTTTTCGCAACATAATCTACGCCTGGTAGTTTTGGGACATTGTTTGCACGTTTCAGTGACAAAGTTTCAAGATAAATTTACAAGTTTATGGCAACTAAATAACCCCAATAGCTGAGAAATATGTTGTACAAACATGTAGTTGATACGATTTCTACCAAATTTTGCGGTATTTTGCGTGTTTTTGTGAATTTGCGGCTCTGCAACAGCACAAAATATCGGAAGCCCTGACTATGAGCTGGCAACTAAAAATTTGCATCTGGCGACTATATTTCTCCAGTTGGTCGCCAAAAGGCGACCTGAGTATTTTTTTAATTTCGAGCCCTGCACATGGTCATACTCATCTCTTAAAACAGCTGAGCCTCATTTCACAAGGGAAGACTTACTTCAACAGATTAAACACGCAGCTAAGATGAAGAACATGTAGTTAAGGACATCTTAAGGAACAACCTAAGTCCCTAGATTTTCGCAGATAAACAAACTTTCATCATCAACAGTATAACTATTCAATGTCCTTACCAATCTGTGATTCTAAATCACGTCTTGTCTGTGCACGTCCTCTATCCACCTGAGGGGAAGGGTCTGGAGTTCTAAATACTCCAGCAGTTGCTGGTGCAGTAGGTAAGGCACCTGTTGTAAAGGTATCAGGGGGTTTTGGCCAGGTTGGTTGGTCCTGAGTACCTACAGGTTAAACATGGATAAGCAAAGAGACAATGAGACAACAAGTAGCCAACATGAATGTTAATCACAGCCTTGCTTTTTTCACCACCATGCCTCATTTAAGGACAAAACTCTTTGCATTTGCACAAGCAGTATGTAGTATCTCTGACAACTCATTATCTACATTTGAAGTTTATTATGTTGAAACCTCATAAGTTCACCATTAATGTGAAATTTGAAGGTCTGAAGTAACTATGTATAAGAGCTATTTCTGCCGCAATTTAACCAACTGCAGTACCTGGTGCCTAAATTAAGTTAAGCATTTCAGTGCACAGGGGATGGGGTATTAGGGACCTTCTCAGTTTCACATCGCAGTTTCCAATTCAGTGTTTGCTCTTGCAATATGCATAATTTTCTGTTCTGTTTTATTCTCCTGCCCTTGTTTTTAGTTTTGCTGTAGTGGTCCATGTGTGGATTAGTGCAGTTTGTTGAATGTTCTAAATGTGTAGTTCCAGAAAATATCCAGACCCCCACCACGGAGGGAATTGGAAATTCCAGGGGGGTGGGGGGGGGGGGTCAGAGGCCCAGGAAATTCCAGAAGGGAGGGGGGTTGGACCATAAAATCACTTTCCAGGGGGCAATATCATTTTGTTTTCGACCTGAGATCGAACAATTACCACCTGATAGATCATTTTAGGACATAAATAACTTGACATATATCACTTAAGATTGTTCTTTTTGATCTTAACCAGGTTCCTTTTTCTTGTTCTGTTTTGGATGTAATTTCAAAGGAATTAGACCGACTGCCCTTGTATATTTGGCCGCCATTTACCAGTCTTCCCAAAACATCAACGCATGCAACACATCACGCAACACAACACGTGGTCCGATAGATCAGAAGAGTGGCTATTGCCTCCACGAAGCACAAGCTATACATTGTAACCATTTTAGAATGAAGAGTTTTTATTCTCCTTTTCATTTTCCCTTAATTTTGTGGTTGAACGTGTGGCATGTTCTTGAAATTCTCGCTGAAATGGTGTTGATTTCACCAAACATTTATACTGACCATCGCACATCATGTCGCATGAGTCGATCGAAAACAGTAAATTGGACTTGGTTTCCCTTCAAGTATCTTCAAGAAGGGGTATTCATTGTTATCATTTCAGAATTCAGAGTTTTTATTCTCCTCTTTGCTTTGCATTAATTTTGTGGTCGTAAGTTTGACTTGTTCTGCATTGCAAAATGGCGTTAATTCTATCAACATTACACCCATGAGACGAATAACAAATCTAAGCTTGCCCTGATTAAGGTAAATTCACAAATATAACCGACTTATTAACTTTCTCTGTTTCATTTTAAGAGATGAGCAAAATTACAGATCAGGTTACTTTGTGCTGGTGTAGTGTGTTTTTTGCGAGATCACTCAAATAAATGGAAACAGAAGCATGCAAGCTTCTGATCTGTACTAACCATACGTTGCCTCATTCTTCTAGTTTAATAGTCTTTCTTTTGAAAATGAACTTTTCCAGAGGGGTTGGGGGTCTTTGTCACACTTGTGGAAATTCCGAAGGGATGGGGGGTCATCAGTTCCCTGCAAAAATGGAAAATCCAGGGAGGTGGGGGGGTCCTAAGTGAAATTCCCTCCGTGGTGGGGGTCTGGATATTTTCTGGAACAACACAATGAAGTACATGGACGAGGATGTTCAAAGTTCTTTTGTTTTAGTGAAAGCTGATTATGTGATGCCCTGTCTGATCACAGAGGGCTACAGTTTTTTAGTTCACAGTGATTTTGCTGTGTTTTTGTAGGATCTGCCTCTAAGCCCCCACTTCCCAATTTCATCAGGGAAAAAATAAACACTGTCACAATTGCAGGCATAGCCTTAAAACTTGAACATCCATCCTTGCCATCTGTTGCAACAGACAAAAGGAAACAGTTTCAATGCCTAATATAGTCTTACATGACAAAACTGGACCATCATTATTAGAGTGCAATTGGAATGGGGAAACGTTTTAGCCTTTTGAAAAGATGGCAAATAGCATGACAATCCCTAAAATAGCATGACAATTCCTACTCCCCGACCTATTACATCTTTAGAGCTTAACAAAGAGCATCACTTTTCACACAGGAGTATTCTAATTACCTTGCAAAGAGCGAAGCGTATGCTGTATTATGACAGCAAAATTGTTCCCATCAGTATCGGGACTGATGCGCAGACCATAATACAGTCCTTGCAGGTCAATACGTATTTGATGCCATGAAGGTTCAGATACATGGTAAGTTACCCGCTCAGATAAAAGAATGTTAATCGTCACCTACACAGAGGAAAATAATACAAGAAACTTAGTGCAGTCTCCTTTAAGTTATATATAGAAGTAGCACCCATAATCCCTTTATCTGCCACATTGGCTTTTAATTTATAGTGAAACTTCATTTTATAAATTGACTTAAAATGTCACCTGCAAGCCGCTGCTTACTTTTGTCATTAGCCATGTCATCATGAACAATAACCACATTATCTTGGCAAATAAGTCTATTTCTCTTTCATTATGAAATACATCACTCATCAATATGCTCTTTTGGTATGTGTATTACCAGTTCTTGATGAACCCCAACATAACAGTTCTAACTCACAAGGCCTGTAGACACTTTAAGGGACTTTGGGGAGCCATATCTTTGTATGTTTTCAACCTTTCACTCTCAAACTTGGCAACTTCCCTGATTTTAAGGCTTCCTTCCACTGCCATTAATAGATTTTTATGAATATTATTATTATTAAAATAAATTGTGTCAAAAGCTGAAAAAAGGTGGGAATGTGGAACTGTGGTCTCCATTATTAAGGAGTAAGCAAGCTTTTTTTGATCTGAAAATATGTAAACTTTCCTTATTATGTTCAAATTGGCAATCTCTGAGTGAGCAAGATAAGCCCATCTTGTCTGCTCAGGATTTCCCATCTAGATAGTGCCATCCACCGGATAAATCTATATCAAGTGGATAAGTGTTGGGGAAACTGATGTTATTATGCTAGTCCTGCTGGATAATGATTTACAATATTGTGTATCAGGTGGATAGCGTTATCCACCCTCTGAATAACTAAGGCCAACTGGTCCTTCGAGAAATAGTTCTCTTGTCGGTGTGCAACAAATGCAGACTGCAGACTTGCAGACTGGCAGGTAAACGAGGCAAACATTGTTGTGAAATGCTTTAACAGATTCCCTATCCCTGAACTAGACTTTTGGAAGACTAAAGTGTAAGGATAGGGAATCTGTTAAAGCATCTCACAACAATGTTTGCCTCGTTTACCTGCCAGTCTGCAAGTCTGCAGTCTGCATTTCTCGCACACCGTTCTCTTGGCCATGAAGTAAATACTTCATTGACCAAGCTTGTTTGGGCAAGATTGCTGGATACTGGTCAAACTCGTTTTTGGAATTTATATTGACTTTGTTTTTAATGACCTCAGCTTTGTCTGGGTCAATAAGTACGCAAAGAACAACTTGGCTAATATCTACCCATCCCTCGCGCTTGGTGAATAATCCAAATATCTTGATATAAAAGAGAACAGATATGAAACCATGGAAAGTATAAATCAGTATCCATGATGAATGTTTTTTTTTTATCACTTAAAGCAAAAGCTTTACAGCAAAACGACAATCATCATCACATTATAGGGCACGGGGAATGTCGACGTTCTTTAAAGAACTGTCTAACGGCGAATGGATAATACTTTAGTTAAACACAATTTTTATACTTTGCACTACAAAGAGAATGAGACTGCGATGACACCCGACCTGTTCAAGGTGGATTGAATACCCTTAACTTACCGCAGTTTCTGAACATTTGCAACAGGAAGATAAATCTTTAAGTTAAATTTCTTACCATTCCCGTAGATTCTAGCCTCGCTACAACTCTGTACTGTACAGTACTTCCGGGTGGACGGCTACATATCAGTTGAACTTTGGAATAAACAGTTGATTCTCCAACCTCGACCCATCGGTTGATATCGTAGGAAAACACGATCGCACGACATTCAACTAACACTTGTTCGGGGGGTAAGTGGTATAGTGATTGAGCCATGCGAGTTTGAAGGCATTTAAGATGAACTTGTTCTACGGGAAGTTAGAAATTCATTCAAATAAAAGACGATAACGAAAGTAAAAGTAAGAAGGGCGATCCATTGCGATGGAGCGGGCAAGGCATGGCGGAAGCTGCTAATGAAGCGCGCAGGGAGTTATGGGCTAGGGGGACTCCCCGTTTAGCATCAGCGAAGGCCACGTCCAATACGGTCCAATACCAATTCGCCAACAAGATGTTGTCATTTGTCACAAATGGCTTTTGACAAGAATTTGGTGAGCCAGGCGTTTTTTAGAACGAACGAATGGGTTTCGATATTTTTTACAACTGAAAATATCTGTTCGGAAACATTTGAGTTCTAGAATTTTAAAAAATATCCTGGGGTACAAAATGGTTCAAACATGTCTTAAAAAGGAAAGCCTTTCCCGTGACAAAATGATTTTCGGAAACTAGACTTTCTGTAGAAATCCGTCAATATGTTTAAATACCAAAATACCAGTGGTTTTGAACTATAATGATTCCAAAACCGGTAAAATCGGCTCACTAATTAAAATCGGCTCCTAATTGAATAATTTAGCCAGAAAAATTAAACTGAGGAACGTTACTCGACGATGCCGTTTCTGATATCGTTATCAAGAATGAAAACTGTAAGTGTCGAAGTTGTTAGAAACATCAAAACGCGTGGAATAACGTTCCTCAGTTCAAAAATTTTCTTGTTCAAAATGCTGACGATCCGATCAATTAAAATAATTAGAAATTATTTGATGAGGCTGAATATGATGTGAAGAATCGAGGATTTTACTATGCCGCACCGAGGTCCAGTATTGTTTTGGTGTTAAACCAGACGAGAAGATGAGTATTTGCTTTTCGACTCCGCAACACGGGGGATATACAAATTCCAGCTTGCTAGATGTGAAAGTGAGAAAATGTCATGCCATGCTATTCTTAAGAACCTGTATGAGCCGAAAATGGATGTGATTTTGAACATTCGCTTCAAAATAACAGCGGAAATCGAGATAACAAAACATGTTTTGTGTCCTACGTTGCAGACGAGGACGTGTATCGGCGTTTTGAAAAGCATTATTATGTTCTTTCATTCATTCATTGCCATGGAATATGCGTTTACATTGTTTTTTACTGTTAATAGCTCGATTAATGCGGCTGGCGATCATCTTGCCGGTGGAAGTTTCATGCAAAAAGCATTAAATTAAAGACTTTTCCCCCCGATTACTTAATTAGTCTCTGTGGTGTAGTGGTTAGGTGTAGTCGCGTCGAGTCGATGGTGCAGGGTTCGAATCCTACCAAACTTTTTTTTTCCTTCTTTCTTTTTTTTTCCGTTTTTTTGTGTTGTTGTTTTCCATAAATATATAGCTAAATAACTGTTACTTAATAAAGTGCAATAAACAGCAAGAAAAGTATCGTGTTTCCAGAGAAAAGATAGTACACCATATATTAAATATATGGATAAACAATCTGAATTTCTATCATTTCCTACAATTTACTGTGGGAAAACCAGAGTTGATAACCACTTGATCATTTTCTAAACAACGTTCCCACGAGTTCTTTCTATAGACTGATAGTAATTATTCTCGTACTTTCCAACATGTAAATAGGACATTCAATGTCATTTTCGATTCTTTCAAGTCCCACTGCCTAACTAATGCCAGTATCAACAGAATGTGCCGCAGCATTACTATCTTTTAGATACCCTAGTATTATCAGTATTCATTCAAAACAGGCTTAGCTCAAAACATGATGGCCAAAATGTCAAATTCCCGTCTTCAAAAAATTTACATGTGCCTAGCTATCTCCGGTAATTTAGGATATATGAAGGGAAGTTTATTCTAACAAATATCATGTTATAGTACTTGGGCTTTTTCGACCGTTTTGTCCCTTCTGGCTACGTTTTTGCGGCAGAAGTTCGGCTATTTTTGTCTTCGCATAACCTGAGATCAGGCTCTATTTTACTTTTGGTTAGTGAAAAAACCCAGTCACGAAGGTAAAATACCATATGTAGCCCGGACGCTTCTGTTCCAGACGGGTGGGTACAACCCAAGGTTGGTGGGTACAAGAAAGAAGTCCGAAGACTTAAGACCCAAAAACGAAGAAGCTCGTCAAAATCACTTGAGAACAGCTCGAACTACTGAGAATAAGGGGGTAATTACATGAGACCGGGACGAACTCGGACCGGTATGAGTTCGTATCGCTCTCCATACATCTCTTTCCATGCGTTTACATGGAACCCGCCTAAAAACGAACTCAGAGCGGGTCTGACTCCGTATCGGTCGCTGACCCGACACGAGTTATTTTCGTACTGGTCCGAGACTGTACCGTTCTGATGTAAAACTGGAAACGAATCTCAGACCGGTTGCATCAAGAATAGCATGTTTCTTCGTACGGCTCCATCATTTTTGCTTTTAAGAATAAGAAAACTGCTACGAATAACTGTAAACAAGACTTGGAAGTAGCTTCAACTGAATATATGCTTCGGTTGATGTGAGGGACTGTACCATTTTGAGATGCTGTGCATTTAACATGCCACCAGATGAGCGTTAGATAAAGTTTACAATTTTCTCAAAGCAGTAAAATCTACGGTTCTCCACTCACTGTCTTAATTGGCGTAAATTGTGTACCAGTTAGGACAGTCAGTAAATGATATGTTAAATAATCGACTTAAGAAAGTTATATAGCTGCAAGAAGCTCCTGTTTTTGAGTTTGTACCGGTCTCATGTAATCAACGAAGCGTTTCGTCCCAGTTTCATATAAACGACTGCAAAAATTACAAATTCGCACCGGCTTGAGTTCTTCCCGGTCTCATGTAAGTACCCCCTAAGAAACAACAAGGATCTTAAATCATCAGTGGATTTGACCGGGTTCTTCGTTGTCTACAAAAACCCCACCGAAAATGGAAAACAAAGACCCGCTACCCTCCCTCAAAATCACTTGGCAAGACCTTTAATCATACAGTGAACGCACGATAGCCGTTTTCGAATAATTTTGAGTGGGGCGGGGGTGGGTGTCTTCGTTTACTACTTTAGGGAGGGTTTTGTTGAAAAACAAAGACCCTAGTCAAATTCATCTTGTTGTCTCTTATACTAGGGTTATGGGCTCCTGCTCTTATATTTAGATAGCCCGTATTAAACAATTTCGCGTTTTATCTTCCCTCCTCTCCTTGGGTTGATGCACCAACTCACTTAATCCTTTCCATGATTCACAGCGCGAATACAGAGAAGCAACTGGGTAGGAGTCTGAGACTTTACAGAAAATCACCACGGCGTTTAATTGAGTAAATACGGTAAGAAGGCTTAACAGTTTCAACAATACGACTCTATATTGTCAGAGACCAAGCGACAGAAGGATCTGATGGTCGACATCGTGAGGGGCGGGAAAGAAAAATGAAAAAAACAAAATACAATTGAAAAAAGCGACACTCCTAAGTATACTTTCCTTCTTGATTTTTAGCCAACGTCTTCTCTCCGCAAGGTTTGGTCTACCTTTCCTCAGTTATATCACTGCACTTTTAACCCCAGGGGTAACTGAGGTTAGAGAAACAAAACTTGAAGATTGCGAACGGGATCAGATAGAGAAACTGTCGCAAATAAGAGTTCACCCTTCTTCTGTGACCGACTGTTCTCGTCAAAATCAGCAACCCTTTAACAAGGACAATAATAAGACAAAAAAGGTAAGTTAACCACAATCTTTTTTTAAATAAAGGTTGAAAAGAGTTCATGTACAATACTACCGTAACCTACGTAAACGCAATATTTTTAATTTGCTTAACTTTTCGTCCTCGTTGTCGGCACTAACAAGCAAATAAATAAAACGCCGTATTGACCAGCTATTTAGTAAGGCCAAATTTAGCGAGAATTTCCAGCGCAAGACCAGGAACAGCAGCGCTTTCGGCATTGGAGGAGTCAGATGAGTTTATAATTTGTTGGAGAACATCGACGAGAACTTGTGCGTCCCCTTTCAAATCATTTGGCTGCCCATTTGATGACAGCAGTCTTTTGATTATTCTCAAGAGCTGTTTTTGTTTCTTGACGTCAGCGGTTTTCAAAGCCTCTGCGAAATACTCCATGTTTTCGACACTCAAGGCGTCCTCGTATATCGCGCCAAACAGTTCCACCATAAGATACAAGCACCGACAGGCATTGTCCCTAACATCCGGGTCTTCATGACAGAGAAAATTTATAAGCACACCAGTCATTTCGACCAGCGGTTTACTCTCAACAAGAAGTTTCTCCGCTAACTGAGTTTGACCAGAATTTTCGGTTGCAGACTCGGTTTTAGACTGAAGAGCTTTGCGAACTTCTCTAGAGACGAACTTCAATGTGTTGTTCAAAGCATCAAGAAGCGGAATCAACATGGCTGCCGCGGAATCACTCCCAGGGGAATTTTCATCGTTTTGACTTTCCGCTACGTCAACAAAGAGAGAGACGAGGCCGTCAATCAAGCCCTGGTTGTACAATGAAGACACGTCGACATCTTTAGCCGAGACCAAACAGTCCAGTAAGCCCACTACACTCTGTGCCATGCTCCTGTCGAGCTGACCGGCGTGGGACTGGAGGATCTGGGATATAGTGACCAGAAGCTCCTGTTTGATGACCGTATGAACGATGTCAGGGCTTCGCTCAAGAAAGGATAGCAACAGCTTTAGGCCATACGCGGGTAAAGGATCCTGGTCTTGAAGAATAAGGTGATACTGGGGTAGCAGATGATCACTGATGACCTGTTGAAAAGAAAAAAAAATGCAATCAGGAGAAAACGATTTTCCAAAACGCTCCAAATGTCAGGCTACTTTATGTCCATTCCCTGGTCCATTCTGGTTTAATAGGGAGCGATGTTTTAGCTATGCACGTCAAGCAGAAGTGACGTGCGTCGTTAAAAACGTCTTTACGTAATCTCCCTAATAGCAACACAGTAACACTGCAACACAGTAGTCAGCTGAATATTAGTGACAAAACTACCCTCCACCAGAAGGAGCACGATCAATCTATCACAAAAACGAACGAAAATGAGAGTCATGGAGAGCGAGCGGGAAAGTAAGGTCTTTCTCTGCCCATCACGTCATGCACAGACGCTAAAAGAACAGTTGCTTTTTCGTTGTAAGTACGAATAGTGCGCCTCAAGAGGAATAATTAAATTCCTGCTCGTTGATGGGTTTTTACACCGTTTTATCTCTTAATAGAGTTGATGTTAATGTAAGGGATATATTCGCTTCCGGGGAATTACCTCACTTACACTTTTCATTACCACCCCCCCCCCCCCTCTCCTCAAGGTCCCAAATCCTACTTTTAAGGTAGTTTCTTGGTATTGCGGTGCGAACGGGTTCAATAAAAAAACACACGGAACAATACCCACACCATATCACAAAAATGAACCAACAATGGTTTCCGCAACACCCACTTTTATTCTGCGTTACGCTACTCCCAACTGGCTGCATCTTACCTCGTTCAGTTTCTTGGTACTTGCCGACACACCTTCGACATTGCTGGAGGAACTGTACACATTCTGGTTATCAAAATACAGCGACGCTACATCAGCAAACATCCTGAAACTTAACACTCTTGTGTCACCATTTGAACTGCTCATCAACGCAGCAAGAGGAGGGAGGAGGTGTTGCGTGACAACAGAGTGATAGTCGAGGAGTATCGGAGGGTGTTGCGTGATGGCCTCCGCAATGGACAACACCACATTGATGAGATCTTCGGCGGCATTTGGACCTGCTGCAGAGCCTATGCTAGTGATGCCAGAGTCGATGGTGATGACATGTGTTAGCAGTAAGCCAACATTTATCAGGAATTCTTTATTCGTTATGTGCGTTCTGAAGGCGTGACTTGTGACAAGGTGGAGAATGATGGAGAGAAGTGGGAGGTGTATCCGGAGCTGCTTGGCTTGCCCAGCTGATGGGTGTTTCCGGCCTTGGACTGCTTCTAACGATGCTAACACATCCGAGAGGATACCAGGAGCTGCGTCTACAATGGCAGACACACACATGCTCTGACACTGCAGGAGATAGTCCCGGTTCTCACGGCTCTCTCCCTTGATTGGAGTACCCCTTTTTATATTCCGTTCAATGTACATGACAAGCCTGGATTGACAGCACAGAAGAAGTGCCTCAGGGCTAGACTGAACCAAGGTCAGAACCAACAGAAAGGCTTTACCGCGGATAACCATGGATTGGCTTTCAAATAGGTGAAGACCTTTTGCGATCAAATCACGTTCTTGGACAAGCCTTCGCATCTGAGGCCTCGTGGACAGTAACAACACAAACATGGTTACCAAACACTGCTGAATCTTTGACACGCTGCTGGACAGAGCAGAGCCAACTGCCTTGAAACCTGCCTTTTCGATCACGTGTTGAAAGACAGTGGGAGAGTGACTGGTCAAACGACTGAGTGCTGAAATAGCTGTGACCTTCTGAGCATCAACTGTGCAGTGGGTGAACAACTTCCACAGGAGCTGAAGAAAAAGTTAAAATATTTAATAATCTCACAAACTGTCACTAAATGTTAGTTTAGCACTGAAGCCATGAATAGTGGTTCTTGAAGTTAAGTACTATCCATTAAAAAAATATAACATTACCAATTCCAACAAAATATCACAAACAGCTCAGAGTGCAGGTGTTGCAAGTACAACATGGCAGTACAAGGGTTTTTCTCAAGGCTGTTCTCTAGCAGGACCCATTGGCCCCTGACACCTAAGGTTTGCCCTGGGTGACTAGGAAATCTTAGTCTTCTCATAGAAATCATATGCTGGGCACCCTACAATTTACAGGTTCAGAGCAGAGAGCCTCACATGGTGAACATAGAGGAGGATTGGTCCAGTGCCACCTCTAAGAACCTTGTTATCAACTGAGTAAATGAAGTCAATTTATCCCCACTACATCTAAAGTTTCCATAATGAATTTTCTTTTAGTGGAAAGTTTACTTTATGAACGTGGTTAATTACATTAAACACCAGGATTATTTTTTGACTTAAATAGAATTACTACTCATCTGCAATCTTCCAACTGAAGGATGTTTTTGATTGGGAAATCCATGTTTTGACTTTGATTTTCAGACTTCTGTTCACTTCTCTAAGATGGAATGTAACTTATCAAATCCAAATCTAAATCCAAATTCGTTTTTGGATTTCATGCTTTATGGGAAAATCGCAAAATGCAAGTATAAAAGACTGATCTCTTCATCAAAAGCACACTAAAGTAAGTTAAATTTATTAAATTTATTAAATTAAATTTATTAAATTTATTATCCTGACCTGAGCAGATTCATTTGTGGCAAACTTGCTGCAATGTCTACCATTGGTTGATGCCACGTTTTCAATAGTCTTGGCTGCAAAGTGTTGGACTGTGATATCTTCTCCTTCATGAAGACACCTAGTGATGATGGTGTATGTAACTCCTACAAAAATCAACCCAAGATCATGACTAATCGAGATGACAAAATTGGAAGCAAACAAGAAATAGGTTAAGTTTCAGGCAAATTAAGTAGAGGAATAGTCTAGCTATGGTGAAATGAAAAAGTACATTGATGTGCTGTTACTTTCAACAAGCACAAGAATCTGTGGATCGTAAAATTTTAGCAGATTTGGTGGTGGAAGAAAGGAAGGTACCGAAAGGTACAGTAGTATCCCAATTTTTTGAACCCTCAGTTTTTTTTTAAATTTGTGATAATTTGACGCAAACCTAACTTTCTTTCACTAGTCAAACACAGTAATAGTGTTTTACTCTCAATTTTTCAAAGACTTTCAAAGCTCCTGATAATTTGAACCAATTTGCCCTTCCCAAGGTAGTTTGAAGAATTTGAAATTTACTGAATAACTTTGTTCTTGCATTGCATGTCTACAAAATAATATAAATCTGTTTAGCCTCACCCGGTACGTCCCACTGTGGAATTGAGTCTCCCAGATTTTCCTCTTGAGTAGCAGCATAGAAAAGAAACTCTCCTAAAGCTGGCAAGATATGTTGCTTAAGTTTTGCATTCCTAAAATTGTCTCTGATCACTTCTGTCAGTACTGTAAACACTTCTGTCATGTTGAAGTCCTCAGAAATCATTGTAGCATTACCGGCTAAGAGGCTCAGTGCGTAACCTAGAAAATGTAGTGAAAACAAAAGCATTTTAAAGATAGAGTATCATGATCACTGGCTAAACTCCACACGTTTTTAAAAGTAAACACAACCAGTGGGGTTACCTCCCAAAGCAAGGACACCTCCTATTCATCTAACTTGTGAACTAAGGATAAAATCTGCAAAACCATACTGTTTGCAGTAGCACTTATCAGGGAAGTCAGATATTCAGTGGGGTATACAGTATTTCCAGAATCACTTCTTCTAACAAGAACTTGAAGCTAGGAGGTAAGGTAGGTGAGAAAGGTTTTCTTGTCTAAGAACATGTAACTCCAGCTTACAAAATACCATTGAGCCTTTGCCCTGTGATACAGAAATGATAACACAAAATGTTTAACTCTAAGCAATGCATAGGAAGGTAAATACAAAAAGTGGAACAAAATTTTAATCCTAGATTAGCAGTAATCGCCCTTTCAGGAACCGGGCCCTGGTCCCAGTTGCTCAAATGTTGGATAGCAGCAGCTATGTCACTATCCAGTGGATAAGTATTAGTGAAACCAACGCATTATCCATTGGTCAGAGATTTATCCAGTGGATAGCATTCTCCACCTTTTAAAGAAGTGGGCCCAGGGTGAAGAGAGACAAAGTGCAGGGGTGGATCTAGGGAGAGGGTGCAGGGGGTGCACACCCCCTCCCCCCCTCCCTGAGATGACCTGCGGTTTTCTAATGCAACTGGTATTCTACAAAAAAACCTATGTGGTTTATTGGTGTTGAAGTAGAGCAAGAGACAAGTGCACCCCCTCCTAAAAAAAATCCTGGATCCGCCCCTGAAGTGAAGAAGTTTCTTGACGAAGGAAACAATGTGATAGAAATGCCTGAACTTTGACGTACAGATAGGAAATTCAAGAAGTTAACTGCTCTGCCACCACACCTCCAAAGCTAGATGATTATGGAGTTGTAAGGGGAGATAGCAGTGGTATATCATTTCCTTTAGGAAATGCTCTGCTTGAATGGGGTAAGCTTTAATACACATTTACACTGTACCTACCCAGCCTTGCTTTGAAATCTGCAGAAAAGCCAGACTTGATCTGTTTGAGCATTACAGCAATGAAGTCAGAATCAAATATAGCATTCGCTATCTCTCCATCTCGGCAGAGGGATGCTAGGTAAGACGAGGTGTGTAGTTTATTTCGGTGAAGAGTGGCCATAGGCCCAGTATAAGATTTGTCACTTTGAGATAATAAGCTGCTGATGGCACTTAAGTGTTCCTCAAATTTTGCTTGTGGAAGGTCCACAAGATCGCCTGGTTTAAGTGGTTGACAAGGTAATGATTTAGAATCCCACTTTGGAAGAGAGAACTTCTTGATTTTAGGGTTGTCTGCAATTGGTGTTACAACAAAATCTGAAGGGTGGTTAGCTAAGTCTGTAATGCCCTTTTGCCCTAGCATGTCCCTATCATGTACCCCTTGTGAGTCGCCCACCAATGCAGTGTTTGATTCCACATTTTTAGATTGACTATGCTGATTTTGCTGCAATCCATTGAAATCCTTCTTATTAAATGTTTGGTTCCTTTTCAATGGTGTTGATTTTTTAATCTTTGAGTTAGAAGCTTCAGCATTTGCCTCCTTTTGATTGTGTTGTTTTGTCCTACTGCTGAAGCTTACTGACTGAATACTCTTTTTCTGATCTTCTGAATTTGTTCTTCTCGCAAGAGTTTGTGTCTTTCCTAAGAATTCACTCTCAGCAGTTTGGGCAAGGGATCCGCTACTGAAAGTGTAGGTTCCCTGCCTGATCACTAAGGAATTTTGTTCTGGCACATTTAGCAGTTGACTGTCTTTAATTGCATCTTCTTTACTTTCTTTGACATCCTCACTTTGTACCTGTTCATTTGCATTTCCACTAGCTTCTTCATCTGATTCCTCTGTGTGATATTCCTCTTGCTCTTCAACTGCCGATGTTTGAGCATTTTCCCCAGAATCTAACTGGCTTTCCAATAAGCCATCCCAAAAGCTGTGTGTTATCAAATCCTCCCAACTTAAGCGTTGCAAAGGATCCTTCTGCAAAAGACTTTGTATAAGTTCTTCAAGTTCTTGCAATGCCCTGTTTGCCGCACCCTCTGTTTTTATATTGACGTGAGGTGAGCTGTCATTTAATATTTTTGATACAAGTTCTGGAAAGGAATCAGCCACAAATGGTTGTTCTCCAGTGAACATTTCACATAAAATGCACCCAAATGACCACAAGTCTGCTTCCTTAGAGTGAGGTGCCCCACTGAGTACCTCAGGGGCCATGTAATGCGGTGATGGTTTAGGCCGTTTAATTTGTCCCTCCTCTTTGTTACTATAATTTTGGTCCTCATCATCTGCACCGGAGTTGTGCTCCCCTCGCAAAACATCATAAAAATCATCCTCTCCTTCAACCATGGCCAAAGCAAAGTCACTTAATTTCAGGATCCCTGCTCCATCAAGCATTATTCTCGACGGCTTCAAGTCACAATACAGAATCCCCTGAGAGTGGATGTAGAAAAGTGCTTTTGCGATTTCTACTCCAAAATGTCGGACTGTTTCCACTGGAAGTCGTTTATCCTGCGACAAGACAGCATCTAAACTGTCCCCAGTACATAACTCAACGACCATCCAAATGTGGTTTGTAGTTTCATACCATTCATGAAACCTGACAACGTTCGGATGGTCCATTTCATGGGTAAGCCGAACAATATTTCGAAGTTCAAAACGCTTGCATTTTTCAACGCAGTGAATAGCAACAAACTCGATTGTCCCCTTTTTCCGGCCTTTGTACACAACAGAATGTTCACCTCGACCAACTTCGTCGTACAGTATGTAGTTCTCCATCGCAAGTTTACAGTACACCTGCTGAAGTCGACTTTGAAGTTTCCGGTCACATTACTTTAGAAAACTCATAAACAACGGTTCCTGTGGTTCGACCGCCATTTTTATTTGAAATGCAGCACTGCATTGTGGGCTATCATCTTTAGATTCCTGTCTTAGGGAGGGAGGGGGAAACTGCTCAAAGAGAGCATGGCGGACGACGCGGTGCAGACCGACTACTCAAACATTTTGATTTTATGACGAAAATGTCCGAGTTCTCTCAAATATCACGCTTGCAAGAAGAAAACCAAAAAGTAAGAATGTTCTAGTGGAATCAGTTTTTCCCTTTTCTTGCAATATTGTAATGTAAGCTTTTTGTCATGTAATTCAATTTTAGGCCTTGCGGGAGCGCAAACAACGTCTTCTCACCTGGTAGGTTCTCACTGATAATTCTCATTTACTTCCCGGTTCTGTTATTGGTGTAATAAAGCTGTTATGTTTTTTTAGCGAGAAGTTCAAACAGGACTATGAAAAACTCGAAGAGCTGTTGAAGACGCTCCCCCAGAAAACAAGCCACGAGGTTATGGTAAGATCGGTATATAAGACTGTCGTCTGTGGAATCTGCTAATAATTCGAACGAAGTCACAGAAAGTGACTTGTAACTGCAGAATACGGGGGGTGATGAATCTAAAAATGACTAATTCGCAACGTTTTTGCGCAGTATTTTACCAACAATGAAATAAAAGCTCACGACCTCATTCCCATCCCCTGGGGGGTACTTGAGTCAATGTTTGCTAGGTAAGTGCCACTGGCCTCTCAGAGCCCCTACCCCATTATGGTCTATTTTTGGGCCAGTCATAGACTCCATCTTAGTCACTTTTTGGAAAATGTAATTTTCACAATCCCAACTTAGCCACTTTATACATCTACCTTATCAATGTGGTTTCAAGAACGGAATGTAATGCTGTCAATGTGAGCTTACTGTTAAATTTAATAAATCAACAACTTTCTGATTTTTGTAACCGACATTCTTCCCATTTTGAATCCCTGCTTATGCCCAAAATCGGAATATTTGCGACCCCATTCTAGTAACTGTATTGAAAATGCGACCCCATTATAGTCAATCCGGTCATGAAAATGCAACCCCATTTAGCAGCACATCCCCTTCAGCCTCTTACAAGGGAGTACCCCCCCCCCCCCCCCGATTTCCATGCAGCAAACCAGATTGCCTTTTCCCCAACCTAGTGACACCCTGGCCTATTCCAATATTTTCAATTTTCCAAAGACCGTTCAGCTACACTCTCACATTTTCCATATTGACGTTTTGTGATGCTTATGATATCTACTTTTGTTTAGGTACCAATTGGGTCCGTGGCATTCATGCCAGGGAAACTTGTGCACACCAATGAGATCACCGTCCTGCTTGGAGACAACTGGTTTGCAGAGCGTTCAGCCAGCCAGGCAGTTGAAATAGTGGCAAGGCGGAAAAAATGTACTGTCATTATAAACTTCATGTTCATGGTAATGCTTTTTAATGGAGAAACCTTTAAGCAGAGGCCAGAAATGTTCTAATTAGCATCAGTACCTTTAAACGGGCACTCCCATCCATTAAATTACATCCCCCATATACAGACTTAAAAACCTTGAAACTAATACCCCTTTTCTAAAAGAGGTCCCCTGGCCTGAGATTGAATGAATTATAGTACTGAATATAATTTATAACCGTACATTCAGGGCTATCACTAAGATTTCAAGTTGCCAGATAAATACATCAGGTAGGCCAGGTTCTATTGATTCTATTTTTACTCAATTCTCCCAAAAAAGGAGCTTGGGTAAATGTTCATAATAGCAGGGGGTGGAGGGAATTCCTGGTCCTAGGTCCTTTATGACATCCCTGTACACCATACAACCACTTAACAATGGTGCTTGAGAGCTACATGTAGTATGGACACTAGACCTGTATTTCTATGGCTCTCACTGGTATAACTGTATTAATATGTCCAACAAAATGCACCAACTTTGATATGAAATATGCAAAGAGTTGTTAAGTGTAAAATTTAATCAGTTTCTTAGAGATTTATTTCATGGTTTCATGATGATCACACAAGATGTAAACCAGAGAGCTCTTTTGTCAATGGTGGTTTGGTCTGATGAACTGATAACCATGAAGACACTCTATCAATGTGCAATTTTATGTTTTTTTTCATATGCTCATCGTGGTTTTCCTCTTTTAAAGATCTTGAGACCAACATTGCTGGCCTTAATGCTGACATAGAGAGTTTTGATGCAAGGATAAAATTTGCGTCTGACATTCAGTCAGCTGCTGAGGTAGTGTAGGCACTAGTTTTCTTGAGCGTATTGGGTATATGCAGAGTTTACAAAGTATCTAGGTATCTGGGTCAAATAATCATCTGTCTAGGATGGTTTCATTTTTTTTCTTGGAACTCTTTATCACAAGATCATATTTTAGAGCACCCATCCAAAGAGTCCTTTTCTCCCTGAAATAATTTATTTACAGTTTTTAAAAAATTCCATGTGTAAGAAAAATTTTCTAATATTGATTGCAAACCCCCATTGTTGAAGGTCCTTATAAAATTCTACAGGGGTTAGAATGAAGATTCTTTGAACATTGGAAATCACCAGCCAGAACTTAGGCTGCTTTGTACTTTAAACAGAGGCAGTTTCCCATTCTGCAAATTTTCCAGGAAACCTAAGGAATTCAAATTATTCATGTTCTTCCATCAATTTTTATTTACATATTGTTGGTTTTTTATTTTTGTGATTTTTAATGGTTATTTTGAGTGTAAATGGTTAAAGAAATGCCTGCTGCCATCAGCTGTATAATTTGATGATGAAAATAATGTTTCCATGCTTATCCTGAATACAGTGATGAGTAACTCATGATCCTGAAAATTATACAGTATGATATGCTACACATTAATAATGACAGGTTTATTATGCATTCATCAGCCAAAATTTCTAGCTGACTATAACAGTTCTTAATTTAGTGCATTTTATACATGCTTGCCGTCCTTCATTATTTTTTGCCAGGGTAATTCTGATGTTAAAGAAATCAAGGAGGAACTCTCCATTCAAGATGAAGAGAGGCTGCTAAGTAAGCACTAGTCAGGGCACAGGTACCCCAAGAGCACAGTAATAAGAAAAGGTGTAAAACCATGAAACAGAGTTCCTTTCCTTTTTTCCTGTTCCACTCTTCTGTTCATGCCCTCCTTATTATGTGAATGCCAGGAAGATGCCACCAAAGAGATTGTTAATTACTAAAGTTTATTTGTCACCAGGAGTAGAGTTGAGTGGTTAACTGATAAGTTACTATTTTAGATGTATAGGTAGAGGATCTATGGATAATGTTTTGAAGGAATGTTGTTAAAGTGACACAAAAAGAAGAACAGCTGGCTCATTGTGTAAATACAAGGCATTACCACACCACACCTTGCCAATCTCACCCCAACATACCCCACCCTTTCCATTTTTAGTGGTTTAATGATGATCATACAAGATTTAACCCAGAGAGCACTTTGCTTGATGTTGGTTTGGTCTGATGAACTGAAAACCATGAAGTTAGTGTTGTTTGTTGAAGTGGTTTTAAAATGCACCACCATGCATTGAGTCCAGTGGCCAAGAACATTGTTTTTTCTTCACAGACTACATAGAAAGGCTGAAAGTGATTCTGGTTGTTGTATTCTGTCACTTATAGGATGGTCCTGCTTTTCTTTGCAGACAGAGGTACTCGAAAGGCCCATCCCAAAGCTAAGCAGTTTGGCGGTTCGAAAAGAGTTGAAGGCTTAAAAAGCGGTATGAAGGATCATAATTCAACACAAAAGGACAGGGAGAAAAAAGCTATTGTAACTGATGATTTAGCATTGTTTGCAAGATTAGATGAACTTGAAAAAACAGAGGCTGCCAATGCTGAACTTGATCAATTTTTGGATGAAGAGAAGTCTGAAATCAAGAATGACAGTGAATATAGGAAAAAAGAAGATGATGTGAGGTGGGTGCCACCTTTGAAGACACAAAATGATGATAACAACAAGAAGAAAGTCACATGGGGAGATGATGATGTCAAGAAAGATGCTGATGGAAATGTTGGTGATTCTGATGATGATAGTGATGATAATGAGGAAGATGGACGAAGAACTATTGCTGTCAAGTTTAGCCATTCATCAACATTGTCACATGGACAGGTTCTTGATGACAAGGTAAAGTAAACAGGGAAGAGCTGCAAATAACATTCGGTTATTGGACAATGTCCAACTTAGGCCCCATCCACACATAGCTGCAACTTTTTAAAAATAATGGAGATTTTAAAAATAATGCATGTAAAGCATTTTTAAAATGATCAATATTATTATCCATGACCGTTTTCACTGGATGTGTGTTGACTTAAAAAAAAGATCACTGCAACACGATCTGTGGGTAAAAAAATAGATTGTTACATTGATGCAAAATGTTATGTACAAAGTTTCAGTAGCTCCAAGTTCTCTGTAGTGAAACTTTATTGCCAGTTGCCTATTTGACTAATTTTAGCTTGTAAGGGAATAACTTTACGTAGTTATGTTAATCAGTTGGGTTTGCTTATTATCTTGATTTTTTCTGTAGACAACCACCTCCTGTAGACGACCACTTTATCGTGCACATAGGGTGGTCTCATGAGAGAGTTGACTGTATTCCCATACTCCGGGTGTACATAGTTTAGTGATAAGTTTACAAACGGCGATGGAACAGAATTATTCTCAAAAAAGCTCTGTGAGCTGTAGCTTGCTGCTCCATAACCCTATACCATCTTTCTTTGGAACTTTGAAACAGCTTACCATTTGATTTAATCCAATCTGAAACATTTGAAAATTTCTCTAATCAACTTCAACCATTACTTTATTCTCACAGACACAGTATTTGCTTAATGCAGTGTTTTACTTAGCCTGAGAAAACAGCCGACATTTTGCAAGGCCACCGCTGGTTTCCCCATGAAATTATATCTGAGAAATGATTGCAGAAATTCCATACTGATGACACGTCGCTACCAAGAGCTGGGTAGTGCTTCTCATTGGTTGAAGTAAATTTTCAAGCAATCAGAATCACCACCCAGATCTGGGTATTCACACGTCATCAGTATGGAATTTCTGCAGTTGTTTCTCGCACATCTTTTTGTGTGGAAACCAGTGGCACCACTGCAAAATGTTAGCTGTTTTCTCAGGCTTTGTTTTACTGTAGTCAATTTGTTTGTTTATTTGTTTGTTTGTTTTTTGCAGAGCTTAGATCTGAATTTAAAGGAACGATCTGTGGTTACTCCTGCAGATCTCTACTCCCAGTTCACACCCAAACAGGAGTTGAAATCCATCCTTAGAAAGCCTTCCAGTGAAGGAAAAAAGAAACAAGCATCAAAAGATCAAGTTGCTTTAACTGAGGAAGTGCAGGCTGGTACAATAAAAGAAAAAACAGAAAAGGATTTTGATCTTCAAAAGGTAATATGTTAGTTCCTGTTAGTTTACAGAATGTTTGACATGTACAGTGTTTGAGAAATACAGCAGCCACAAATAGGCCTTTAGGGGTGCTGTCTTACTAATAGGAAATCATCCTTTATTATGAAGGTGAATGTTTATTCCTGACCTTGGACTAGAGACTAGAATGTAGAATATTTTCCAAGGACTGTAGACTGTTCACAGAACCTGATTTTTCTGCAAGATTGTCGAGATCAAGCGTTTTGTGTTACAGGCGGCCATCTTGGATGAGTGTCAAATCTACTTAGATGACAGCAGACGGTTT